TCATGAGAATATGCGTAAAATATGCAGTTCAACCAAGTTTCATAATTTTCCAGCAACATATCAATTTATTAAAATTAAATTACGAATCTGCAGAATTCATCAAATGATTTTTACACATGGAAAATGAAGTCCAAGAATTCCAATCATTTTACACGACCTATAATATAAAACATACTGGGAGACAACATATCCAAATTTCATAAGTTTTGGAGCACAACTCAATTTAATAGGCATTTAACAAGATTCTACTCATAATTTCATACAATTATTAAAAATAGCTATACCTATCATTTAATTCCGAAATTTTTAAAACATGTATCTCCAGCTGAGGGACGAGCACACAAAATTTCATAGCAATACGAGCATCACGCAACTTATCATAATTTATTTACTAAAACAGCGACTAGACAATTTCATTAATTCATAACCGACTCGTTTTACTTCGAATCCGTCCGAAGTCTTCGCTATAAGACTAAGAACGACACGAAACGATGAGGTCTCGTTCGATTTCACCGAATCGACGAGTTCGTCTACACATATAACTTATTATTTCCTAACAATTTCAAACACATATATATTCTTGTGAACACGAAATTCACAATATCATATTCACAAGTATTCAACGATCTCTTTCAACAATCAATAACACAACATAAACGACATGAGTCGAGCCTTGTACCGTTCTCGGGAATCGAACAAAAACGGAACGAACACGAGAGTTGACGGGCCCGAACGGACACACGGCTCGAATCGGCAACACACGGCCACGAGAGGAGGACGGAGGCTCTGGGATTGCTGCTCACGGCTGCTAGGTCGCTGCAGGGGTCCTCGCCGTCACTGTTGGTGGTCAGCTCGTGAAGGGAAGGTCGCCGGAGGACGGCTGGTCGCGGCGGTGGAGTTGCTGCAACGTCGTGAACGGGACTCGCCGGAATTCACGAGGTTGCTGCGGTGGTGGCTTGTGGTCGCGGATGTTGTTGGACTTCGTCGGAAGTGGCCGTCGGGGTCGCCGCTGGTCCGTGGTGGTTCCCGGCGACAGGGGCAGCGATGGAGTTCGGAGATGCTGGTGGTGCGATTGAATTCTCACGTCGGCAGGGGATGACTGGCTCACGACGAACTGCTGCTCACGAACGGGAGGTCGCCGGAGGACGAGACTTCGCGGAGGTTCTCTTCGTCGCTGATGGCGGCCTGCTCGTCGCAGAGGGCTCGCGACTGGTTCTGATCGGAATTCGCAGGTCCACGCGGAGGATACTATTCGGCGGGAGGCTCGCGGCGTCAGATTTGCAGAGACTCGCGGCTTGCTGCTTGCGAACAGAGATGAGTTCACGGCGGAGGAGGGTAATCGGATCTGGGACTGAGGTGAAGTTGACGAAAAGCGAAGGTGATGATGACGAACGGTGAAAGGATGCCGATCAGATGGGAGACGAGGGAGGAGACGATCAGATTTTTGGATTTGAGATCGATTTTTCTCTTCTCTGTTCTTGAGTTCAAAGGGGAGAAGGGAATACAGAAAAGCTGCGGTCTTTGCTGATTGAGAAAAATAGATAAGCTAGGGTTAAAAGTCTTGTGGGCCAAGACACACACACACACTAGCGGGTTGGGCGGACCGGGTTCGGGGCTGGTTTGGGCGAGGCTCAAGGAAACAATTCTGTTCTCGGGCCTGACTAGACGTAGCAATAATTCGGTCTTTCTCGGGCTCGATAAGTTAAATCGCACAAATAAATAAACAAACCAAATATATAATATATATTGATAATACACCAATTTAAATTTTAAGAAACTAATAATGATATTAGTAAAAATACAAATACACATTTTAGATAAATAATAATAACATTTAAACAATTAGACAAATAAATAACATTTAGGCATTTAATTACAATTAGACAAATAATAGTATTTAGCATTTAGGCATTTAATCGCAATTTGACAAATAAATAATATTAGACAAATAATAATAATAATAATAATAACAATAATAATAATAATAATAATAATATTCCCAAAATTATTCATAAATAAACGGGTTTACAATCGGTTTACGCGATTAAACCGAGATCGCAGAACGACGAATGTATTTCAATAAAACAATCGAGTATTCCAATCTTTTATTTAAGTCGACATCGTGACCAATAAATATAATTGTATAAATAATATTCGATAAATAGAATATTCTGAGAAATTCTAAAAATTGAACGGGGCGTTACGTATCTCCTCTGGTGGCTTTGGAAGACCAGGAATCAATGGATTTTCCAAGGTTCCCAACCACCTCCTCACATTGTTGTCAAGGCAGCTGTTTCTGATTGGTTGGAATTTTCCTCTTTGCCATCTGTTTCTTGTTGATTTTAGTTCATTTTATTTTCTTTCTTAGGCTGGTTGTGATTGTTCTTAGGGCTGTGGATTGCTAGGCTTTGTGGCAGTGGTGATCTCTTGTTCCTATTAATTTGTAGTTTTTGTGTATTTGGGGTGTTTGTTTTGAGGCTCTAGGTCATCTTGTTGATGTACCTCTCAAGTTGTCATTCCTGTTTGAACATTTTGTATTCGAGCTCTGCTCGCTTTCAGTTAATAGATTCATCTATCATTTTGGAAAAAAAAAACTATTATAATAGTAATTAATTAACTTTATAATATTTAGTAATTTATTATTATTATGATAATTAATAATTTTTTATCAAATAAATTAATTAATATAATTTTTTATGTATTAATATAATATTTTTTTTGTTTTAAATTATAATTATTATTATAATTACTAAATATGTCCGGCTGGCGGGGCCGGGCGTTTCGGTCCGTCCGGCCCAAGAAATCGAGGAGATGGGGCGGCGTCCGGCCAGTAGATGCCGGACGCCTACGATGGGCAACCGTAAAGGCGACCGGTCTCCTTTTAGGCCGTCCACAATCACAGACCGGACTGCCCAGCCGCGTCCGGTATTCCCGACCAAACGCGGCTCCAGATTTTAATTTTTTTTATATAATTTAAAAAAGGAAAAAAAAATACCTTGCTACTGAAGAATGCTTTACCGAGGCCGTAGGATTTTTTTGACATTTTTTCGAAATCTTTGAAGCTCAAATGACTCATTGAAAATCGAGAATTTAGAGAGATAAAGAGAGTAGCGAAAAGTAAGAGAGAAATAGGTTAAGGGCAAATTTGTAAAAGGGGAGGACGGTACGTAGTAATAGGGGAACGGTGAATAGCGATTGACATCAATCTACCTGCCAAAAACACCCTAATTTATCTTTTTGTATTAACTTATATTTATTAGTAGTGCTTGTCATTATTTGTTGTGCGAATATGTTTATTGTAATACTCCAACACTTTGTGGCTTGTAAGTGGAGTTCATATCAATTATCAATTAGTCAATGCGTGTGTGTGGGTGTGTGTGTGAGAGAGAGCAGTATATTATCTTGGACAAGAGTCCATGACTAAAGAAATTGAGAGAGAGTACATTCTCATAGACAATAATCTATCATGACTGATCCAGTATACTATTCGAGCCACGATTATCAGACACTTGATATTACCAAAGCAAAAACGCACAAGTTCAAACGCAGTTTCATAAAACACGGTGCATGATGCAAGAGTTCAAATCTTTTCCCAGCATTCCAGGTCGCCTGAATGTAGGTCATTTTCACCAATTGGAACCACCATCAGCCTCACGTGATTGGTAAAATTCATCTGGTCTCGCAATGTTTACCTCTTCAAATTCATCATCTAAATGTAAGTAGACAGTCCATTAGATTATATATGAAAAGACCAAGAACGACATTAATTGCTATGAAATCGGAACTAGCAAAGGCACCAAATAGCATTAACCAGAGGAAAACTAACAAAATTTGGTTATATGCAAAATTTAAAACACAGCCTTGATAGACCACATGTATGATCATAGTTAGATTAGGAGCATAAAAAGGAGAGAACAATAAGCAAATGTAAACGAGGCAGCTCAAATTGAAATTTTCTTCTCGTATTGACGAATTAGAAGAGATATACTGGGTATGTTGTTGTTGTTGTTGTTATTGACGAATTAGAAGAGATATCAAGGACCTATATCAACACTCGGATGAACCCAGATCAAGTTCTTAACACTCACCAGAGGAATATTTTAACATTCTACCATAAAGAAAAAAGGAAATAGAATAAGAGTGACAGTGTTTGTTTAAGAAATAAGATAAACACATCAACTTCCTCACTTTCTCTTCTAGTCTAGGACAAATATAACAATGCAAGATGCAGCTTAATATGATAGAAGGGAATTCTGAAGGAAGAAAAGACAAAATAAAACAATAAAAGATGAAAAGAGAAAAAATGAAAAAAAAAAAAAAATAAATCTGGAATGAGAGAGAGAAAGAGTAGCTTGCAACTATGAGCCTTCACATCAAGAACTTGCCAAAAACATGTGATTCAAATATAGAAAATAGCACTTGATTTCGAACATTGGAAGTATAACACTCCCAAAATAAATATATTGAACTCCAAGCAATAATAATCCATGAAGTACTTGAAATAAATATCCTGAATTCAAATCCATCTTAAACTTACTGCAGAGGAAGTCTAAAACTAGATAACATAGAAATTATATACATTTTTGCTTTGGGGTGTCACCATCTGCTTCGAGTCAACAACCAACAGTTTCACTCATATTTCAAGAAAAGAAAGTAAAAACATTTTCAGCAAGACTACACAAACAACTAACATGGAACAAATCATAAAAGAGGCCATTAAAAAGTTCCTCTGATAAAGCACTGATAACATAAACCCAGGTGTCATATATACATTGAACATACATTCAACATACATTGAGAGCAATTCATGGAACCAGTAGCCTTAAAAGAATCCATAAGTATATAAAATGAAATATCCAAGTGTATGATATTTTACTCTAGTACTATTTGAAGAGGCAATTAACGTTTAGAGCACAACCAATTGAAACATAATGTATTTTCAGACATGATTAAGTTAAGAAACTAGGTGCCAGCCCACTTAGAAAGATAAAATCAAGTTACTATGTTTGTGGAGAGAATGATATAAGATTTTCTAAAACTATGAAGGTGGCAGAAGTTACAGAACCTTTTCTCAAGGTCAGGGCAACAACGGCATCATTCTCAACCTGAATAGATATAGCAAAACAATAGAGTAATTAGAAAAAAGGAAAGGAAGTACATAAAATGGACACAATATCAAGAGAAATCAAGAAGCCCCAAACAGATTTTGCCAACCAACTACAAAACAAAAATCTATCTACGTTGAATACCATAGGCAGAATAATTCTTTTTTTCTTTTTTGTTTGTTTATGATCAAAATATAGAGCATTAAACCTTCTGATCTGCAAGCGACTTCGAATCGTCTAGTATTTCCTTATCTGGCATCAAAATCAGTCGTTGATTGTTGACTGGCTCATCAATGAGTTCCTGCAACTTCTCCTTAATTTGTAAAATTGTCTCACTTGGCACACATTGGAGAAAATAAGTTGTCTTCAGACGCTTTACGCGAATATACATCGCCTATCAAATAAGTTAATCAATACACAGTCCATGATAGATTTTCACATGCTTCATAAGTTATCAGTTTAGATACGTTTATTACACAAATGATTGCATGGCAAGCAATACGGGGAATAACGAAGACATATGGAACTTGGGAACAACAGTATGAATAAACACGTATAATAACCTTTAGCCACATAATAATAAAGTAAAACGATTCAATTTGTTCTCCTCCCGCTTCACAATCTAAACCTTTATTAACACCCGTAAAAGAATACACCACTTTTCATGAAGTATTTAAGCAGAGCAAAGCTTGATGCTATATATAGGAGAGTTACCAGTATGAAGTGAATAACATGATGTATTGTTGGCTTTATTTCACACGTACAAAAGGGAACAAAGGAGATTTGATCATGCATAATCGAAAATGACAGGAAACGACAAAAATAAAAGTACGATTGCATCAAAATCAAAAGCCTGGATAGCCATTCACAAACAGTGTCATCAAATGCGGATGGCAAAAATGGCAGCAAGCTGAAATCCAGCCATGGCAGCCTGTGGCGCTGCCATAACTGTTACAAATTTGTAGTGGCGGTTAGGCAGAAATCTTCCATAGCATACCGCCAAGGTAGAAATTTGAACCCTGTACACGTAACGACAATAGCACATTCGCTATCTATGATACGCCACTCCAACAATTAGTCAGAAATTATTATTATTATGAAATAAAATGGAGCAGAAAAGTTTTTAAGTTAAAGTTAAAAAAAAATGGAAGAAAGAATGAAAGAAGATAGATTAGCTAAATCAAGACAAAAATGTACTGATACAAGCTGCATTAATTAACTGAACATATAATTTGACTTTAATTCAACAATGTTTTCTAGGAATTAATAACTTCATTCTAAAAAGTTAAGTTCCCTTGGCAGAACAGAACCTAGATTACTTTGTGGTCAAGTCTCTCTGTCAATGATTTTCAGTTTTCTCCATTTACATGTGTTACTCATACATGCATTATTCTCAACCAATTAAAATCTCCGCATTGCCTCCAACTAGAGAGAAGAAGAAGAAGAAAGAAAAAAAAAAAAAAAAATTCTGAAATAACTTGCTCCTGTGAGAAACTAAACAAATTATCTCAAAAGGGCTATCAAGTAGACCATTCATTCTTCACCTTCCTTCATCAATCCTTTTTTAAATTACATTACAAGGGCGGATGAATTAGTGTGTGGGATTAACATAGCTACACAAGAAAACAACCGTCTGAAAACTAGAACCTAAGCAAACACTAAATCACACATTACAATCTCATAATTAAATACAGAAATCACAAGCACACGGAATTTCAAGAAAGTAAAATAATGAGGGGTAAATAGAGAAGGGGGAAATCATACAGTTTGGTCATCAGGACTCTTTGGACGCGACGGCTGCGACATACTCACTGAGCAATCTCTTGAGAGAAATTGTGAGATGAAAGAGGGCCGTCAGTATTTGTGATTCTCAGTTCCAATCTAAAGCAAATAAGCAATCCACTAATTAGTGAAAACGTACGACATTGGGGCATAGTTTTCAAACCCGCCGGGGATCGACTGGACAGTCTCCCGGTTGCCGGGTCACCCGATGCAGTGCCGGGTCATTGGATTCATTATTGAATCGTATAATTAATTTTAAAATTTTTAAATTACCTATATGGTATTTTTATCATATAAGTAACATAAATAAATATTATGTATATTAACTTTGTACCTCTAAGTGCTAACTAGTACAGAGCCCGTGCGATGCACGGAGTGCACAATTTTAAGGCTATTTATCCAGGCTTATAATTATATACATGAATAAAGAAAAATATAAGGGATATATATGGTACGTGACCCGTGCGACGCACGAGATATATTTATTTGGAGAGTATTATATTATAAGATGCAATATTCAATAAAAGTTTATAATACGCAAGAAAATTGTACAATGTGCAATAAAAGTTTTATAATATTCAAGTGGAGTCTTAAAATCTCTTGTACATTAAGACTACTGACAAAATAATATTTAATCAATGATTTTCCTTTCCTTGTAGCCAAATTGTGAATGTGATTTGAGGAGTACAACAAATCGATATATACCTGACTTGCTTTTTTCATTGTAGTTTTTTTCTTTTTTTTTTAATAATGAATTTAAAGATATTCTAAATCCTCAATCTATGGTGTTAATCAACGTTTAAATCTAAAAAGTTAGGAATTTTTACCTCTTTTAATCAACGTTTAAGTCTAAAAAACAAAAGAGTTATTATAAGTTTTTTTTCGTACATCTTTTAAAACATTAAATATGAGCATGTTAGGGCTATTGTAAAATAATTAATATATTATCTCACTAAAATATTTATACTAATAAAAATTTTATTTTAAATATAAATTTATTCCTTGATATAAGAGAAAGTAACAGTTTTACTTATTGTTGTTCACCATATAATATTTTATTATTATTTTATTATATAATAAAAAAGAAATATTGTTAAATAGTACAGTAGAATGTTATAAAATTATATGATTTTTTTTTACAATATGGATTTAATATTTTTTTATGATTTGATAATATAAACAAATCTATACTTAACTTTGACAAATAAAACAAATAAATACTTTAGTAAGTATTTAATGTATATACTAAATAGGAATATATTTGGTATAATCAAATACCAAATATAATCAAATAAGTCAAAGTGTACATTTTTATTTGGTATTTGATTTTTTTATTATTAAAATCTTTTTATTATACTTACCTTTTTAAAATAAAACAAATAAATAAATCAATTAAATAAATAAAATATTATAATACCAAAATAGTAATGACATTTAATGCAGTTGACTTTTCTAGATAGTAAATGTAGTAAATAGAATCTCCTTTTATATAAGTATAGATTATATAATACGGAAATAGTAATGCAATAAATGTTGTTGACTTTTCTTTATACTAAATCTGGTAAATAGTATACCTTTTTATATAAGTATAGATTATATTCTATCTCATAATAAATATTTATTATATAAATATAAAGGGTAAATCAAATGAGGACACTCCTTATTATTACGTGAAACTCAATCTTGGTCATTCATTTTTTATGTAGACGAATGACTCACATTAATCAATTGAAATATTATACTAATTAAATAATAAAAATATTAATTATGATATTTAAAATAAATATATAATAAGAAAATAGAATTTCGTTGATCGGCGTTGACCTCCAGTCAGAGGCGAACTAAGAGCCAGAGACCAAGGAACTCAGCTCCGGTCACCGCCCGCCGCCTCTCCACCTGCTGCCACCCCAACGAGCCGGCCACCGGCATCTCCGGTCCCGAATCCCTCGCCGCTATCGGTGACCCCCTCCAGAGCTCTGGCGATGCAAAACCATGGTCAGATGGAGAAATTCACCCGCCTCGAAGTGTAGAAGCTGAATACGACTGATCTGGACATCAAAGACGATGAAGCCCTCGCTTTCAACTGCGTCGGGACTCTCCACTCCATGGCGACAATCGAAAATCGAATGGGTCCTGATGTCATTTTCTGGCCTAGGGTTCTCATAATCGCTGAAGAAGAAGCCAGTCTGGACATCCTGCGGTCTAGGGTTCTCATCGTTGAAGGGGATCAAGTAACAGAAGGTCGACAACTTGTAAAGATAAAGCCATCATCGACGACGAGAACTATCGGAAGCAGGATTATTCAGATTTGGGGAGGGATCGATTTTAAAAATTAGATATTTGGGGACTTAGCTGCAATTTAAAAAATTTATAAATTATTGCAATCTGGTCCATACGGAAAATTTATAAGTTATATAAAGTTTGATAATTTCACTCTAACCCTTCGTGCTTTATTATTTAACTAATGCATATTTAGTTTATTTCTTTTGCATATTTAGTTCATATGAAAAACATAGTTAGTTCATAAATAGTATATTTGATATGTTCAAATTAAATATATACATGATGTATATTTAGTTCATTCTTGATGCATTTTAGGTCATACGAAATGCATATTTAATTCATACACAATCCATATTTGGTATGTTTAAATTAAATAATATATACATCATATATATTGTTCATTCATGATGCATATTTAGTTATTTCATGATGCCTACTTAGTTCATACGAAATTCATATTTAGTTCATTCATAGTGTAAATTTGTTATGTTTAAATTAAATATATAATGATTAATATTTAGTTTATACCAAACCTATATTCAACTCATTCGTAGTGCATCTTTGTTATATTTAAATTAAATGTAATGATACATGTTTACTTAATTAATGATGCATATTTAGTTCATCCATAATGAATATTTGTTATCTTTAAATTAAACTAGTAATCAATCTGTGCATTTACCCAGAGACGAATACTTTAAGAACATAAAAATATAAAAAAAAAAATCATAATTTACTTCATGAAAAAAAATATGAATTCAGAAAATAATTCTCAAAATTGATTTTGATCAAGTAATTGTTATGGAAGAGTCGTTACAACCATTTTCTTTATACTAATACACCTGACCATTTTCATGAGTGGGTGTGACTTAAAATTTGAGTACAATTTTGTAACTCTCTTGATTGGTTTATGCTCATAATTTATGGCATTCAAGCAAGTTATTTTGTAACTTAAAAATGAAATTGAATGCTGAAAATTTTGGAGGGAGAATAAAATTTAATGCATGAGAATAAAATTTAATGCGTGGTAATAAAATTTAATTCTTTGTTGCTCCTCTTTGTATATATAGATATATAAAAATGCATATTTATTTAATTTATGATGCATATTTAGTTAATTCATGATCCGTATTTAGTTCATACTAAATGCATATTTAGATCATCCATAGTGCATATTTATTATATCTAAATTAAATATATAATGATGCATATTTAGCTTATTGATGATGCATATTTAGTTAATAGGAAATTCATATTTGTTATATTTAAGGTAAATATATAATAAGTATATTTATTTGATTCAGACGCATATTTAGGTAATAGATGATACATATTTAGTCGATACAAAATGCATATTTAGTTCATCCATAGTGAATATCAACTATATTTAAGTTAAATGTGTTCATGTGCATATTTAGTTCATAGATGATGCATATTTAGTTAATATGAAATGCATATTTAGTTCATTCATAGTGCATATTTAATATATTTAAATTAAATATATACATGTGCATATTTAGTTTTGGTACGTCAAAACCTCCCAACCGGCTGGAAATGGCTCACTCGAACTCCACCTCGGCGGTGGAACACCGAGTACCTGCAAAGAACTCTCACACCGGAGAGGTTTTCCGGTGAAGAGCCTTCGATGCTTAAGTCAGTATAAACTCTACTCAGTTCTCCAGAGTATATTGGATCAATCGTGCTCAAATCGTAAAGGCTACCCCTATATATAGGGGTAGGGTACCTGTTTCTAGATAGTTGCCGGATCAGCTGAGTTGGCTACCCAAAACTGCCCAGCCTCCCCATTCGTAAAGCAAACAGTGTGCGTGTGTCAGAGACAGTTATTCAGTATGGACCAATCGGGTCGTGCCACGTGTCCTCTGCACATGGGTGTTTTGATTCCTCTGAGATCTCCTTGAAGGCTCTAGTGTTCCACCAATTCTATGTCAATTCGTCGACTACTCCAAGTATAGGAAGTGGTCGATCCGACGACAAGTTGCACTGCAGGTCGATCTTCGACCAGACCCTCCATGAGTCTAGGACCGACCTGTTCTCCATGCACCGAGATCCCTTTCTAGGTTGTCTTTAACCTAAGGGCTCTTACTCTCGTGATGCTCGACCACGACCACTCTTTCCGTATTTACTCAACCAGCGCGGTCCGACCGATTTGTCCGATCAATTCGCCAGGCTGGCTTATTCGGCTGGTTTACTCCTTTAGGTATGTTATCATCCATCCAACAGTTGTCCTCATGTTCGTTGTTTGTCGACCACTTAATAGGTGTTCCTCTGTTTTCGACCTCTTTTTCACTCCAACGTCCCTCTAGATTTCAGCCTCTACGTCTGCCATCTGTCATGCCTATAAGAAGCGTCAATCATAACTTCGCAATTCATGTCACCTCATGTCTCGTATCCCTTAAATGCACTCAGCCGTTAGATTTCACTTTTAATCCAGTGGCTAATTTTTCCAAGTCTTCAACTTGCCTCCATTATCATCTATAAATACTCTTGCACACGGCCTTGTACGATTTTTCACTCTCGCAATTTCTTGATATACTTGCCCTAAATTTCCAAACTTTCTGCAATCGGCTCTTGCAATCGTCGCGACTCCTGGAATCTTTGCAATTTGTGAGTCAAATTTCTCCAGTCCATCTTCTATATCCGACAATGAGTAAGTTCCCTGATCTTTGAATTTTTATTTTTTGCTTTTTAATTTTTCTGGTCTTCTTCTACTCTCCAAATTTTCCATTCAACTCGTCGCCATCAAATCCTCCCTTTTCTCCTTCTTCTTCCCCACTTATAGTCGTAAAATTTTATTTTTAGATACTTTTCCTCTTTTTGTTTATCAGATTCCGCTACTCTAGCGAAAACCATTGTTTTTTCGGCAAGGACATGTCTTCTCCCTCTTCGTCCTCGACTCCTCGTAACTCACCTTTTCTTGCTCCTTCCGTTGAGGAGATTCTCCAGGCTACACATATCACTACTCTTCGGCCTGTCCTCCTTAACCAACCAGACGAAGATACGCTCGACCACCTACCTTTGAATCGCCGCTCTGTTCGGCCCTTTGGTATTGTCGATGCTGCCCTCGAGGAGGAGGACAACGAGGTCCTCCGTCCCAATTTTGTGGTTTCGACCAAATCCAAAACTAAAACCAAAACAACCAAAACCAAACCTTCTCGTCCGCCTTCTCCTCGTATTAACTGGTTAGACCTCGATGAATTCGATCACCCGGGAGCCATCTGTTGCCCAAGCAAAGGTGATACTTATGACCACCCCACTGACGGCTATTACACTTTCTTTCACATCTAATTCGAGCTAGGTATCCGCTTCCTTATCTGTCCTGCTTTACTCGACATGTGCAAGATATTTAGCCTGCCCTTGAACCAACTTCCCCCTAAATCCATTCGATTTTGACATATTTTGTTGTCCTTTCCTTCGTTCGTCTAGGCCGAATCGACCTAGACTTTTTCCAGTATTGTTAGACGGCCTCCAAGCAAGACAATGGACTTTACGTGAAGAGTCGAAATGGTGCCAATTTCATTTCTAGCGTCACTTCCAACTACCCAAAATGAAAGCTAAAATTCGTGTTTGTCAAGCCTAGGACTCCTTATTCCTGGGCCCCCACTCCTTGGCTCACGGAACTTCCTTTCGAATTCGAGCCTCCTCTTCAGAAACCAATTTTCGACTGACGTATGCGCCAATGGAATTCTAATCATGTTGTCTCCAAAACCTTACTGATATATAACTATCACCTCCACTTTTGCGGACTACTCACTCATAAAACATATCTTCTACCCCTCGAGCAAACCCTTAAAGATCTTCGAGCTATTAATGAGTCAGGTAGTTTGAACCATAGTTGTCAACCGCGAAATATTAAGTTATAGGGTAATTTTTCCTTTGTATTTGCAGATCCCCTATCTCGGCTTGTACTCTCCTTCACCAAGAGGAAAGCTTCTCTGAAGAAGAAGACGGCCAAACAACTAATTCCTCAATCACCCTGCAAGGGAACACCTAAACGTACCCCCTCTTATCCCAACAAAGAGCTCGAGTGTAATGCCCTGTTCATTTTAGATGAGTTAGCATATTTTTAGGATTTTCGCTTCGTTTATATTTGAGGTATTTCGTTTGGCGAATACTCTTATTCTAGTTCATGTGGACTATTTTTAGAAAATCTTATCTTAATGATCGTTTGTGTCGATCGATTTCGTAGGCATTACCGTGTAATTGTAGTACATTCACATCTCGAGCCTTCATCTAAGTTATTTCGATTAGTTGGATGACTCTGTCTAATTAATTCGATTGGTTTATCCATTTTTCTTGTCGTTGGTAAATCAATCGTCGTCGTTGTTCGTTTATTTACCACTCGTCGAATCGTTCGGGTATTCTTTATTTAATTGGGTAGATTTATTTTACAGCCGTCAGTAGACAATTTCTCATATCCTTGATCTTGATCCATTGTTAGCTAATGTGTACGGCCAATTTTTCACGACCCTTTTATGTCTATGTCCAGACCCTTTAGTCGTGGGATTTTCCCTAAGTTTGGACGTTATATATATACGATTATATATATGTATATATATCGTGACCTTTTCTTTCAAACTCTTATGGCATGATTGGTATGATGGAATGAAATTTCGTAGGAATGGAATGAATTGCAGAATGGAATGATTATGGGAATGGAATGAAACATGTTTTGTCATTGATGCGTTTGATATGCAGAATGAATAGGATTGTAATGGAATGACATTATTATTTTTATTATAAAAATAAATAAAAGATTTTTTAAAAAATAATATACTTATAATAAATTATATATAAATGATTTTTCAATAATATATAAAAATAAAATAATATATTGTTTAATAATATAAAAAATAATATATTTTTAATAATATATAAAAATAAAATAATTTATTTTTAAATTATATATAAATGCTTTTTTTTAGTTTTATTTTTATATAAGTATTTAATATATCTAATTAAAAAATAAATAAAAGTAAGTTTTAATTTTTTTTAAAATAATTTTATTTAATATATTTTAATCATGATTTATATTATATATTATATATTTAATTTTTATTATTATTTGTTAATTTTATTTTTTGAAAAATTGATTACTACACACATGGGAATGAGAAAACCTTCCATTTACTATGGAATGGCTAATCCCATGGAGATGGGTTTTGCCATTCCAATGGGAATGATCATTCCTTCCCAAAAAATATACCAATCATG